TGATGATTTAACCACTTAGCCACGCCAGCCAGGGCAACATGTCTCCATAATTTTTGAGCACTTTTTTTACTTCCTTGCACTACAAAATGATTCAGGCTCATCTTGTACTTTCCCTAGATAAAGGGTGGGAACCAAGGGAGGCCAAGCAGTAGGAACACATGGCTGAGGTTACATCAAATCCACACCAAAGTCACATCACAGGAATCTGCTGATGAGGATTTCCCACTCTTCATGGGCTGCAGGTGCAGTAATTCTAACAACTCTCCTTAGGTCTTGTTCTCACTCATTCAAGATTCAAAGTCCAGTTGGAAGCATTCCACTTGGTTGGCTTAGGCCAAGTGCCTCCCCCTGGATTATGAAGAGTGGGAGGGGGGATGAATTTCCTATAGCTGCCAGGAAGAGGGTGGAATCTCAATTTACTAATATTGTCCACCACAGGACAGAAATAGAAAGTTTATTTGAACTCTGGGTGACCAACAACCCCTTCTCTCCAATATCTACTTCATAGTTGGAGAGACAGAGATACAGACATCAGCAAAGGGAAAAGTTGGAAAGATTATGCACCAAACCATTGGCATGCTGGTAAATGTTTAACAGAAGCTCCTGGGGTATGTGTATGTGTGGGGGGAGCCCTTATTTATAGTGTTCACCTATTTCTGTTGTGTAATACTCCTACCATGGCTAATTTCAAATGTGACATCAAGACAGAGTTGGGAAGAGATTTGCAGTAGGTCACCATTACATAGCAATTGCACCAAACAGATATAGATGTAAACAAGAGGTAATAGGAAAAGGCAGTAAAATAATTAGGAGGTGATGCGTTTTGAGTTATTTATCACTTTGCTTTAAAAAACATATTTAGCCCTGGCAAGTGTGGCATAGTTGGTTGGAGCGTCATCCTGTACACCATAAGGTGGTGGGTTCCATTCCCACATATTCAGCTTTCAGGTTCACACCTCAGAGCTGCCCTGGTTGGGTAGCATGCAGAAGGCAACTCATCAATGTTTCTCTCTCCCTTCCTCTCTCTAAAATAAATTAATTAATTTAGTTGTGAGTTTTTAATCCTCACTGGAAGATATTTATTCCATTGCTTTTCAGGAAGAGTGAAAGGGGGAGAGGAGAGAAAGAAACATTGATGTGAGAGGGACACATCAATTGGTTGCCTCCTGCATGCACCCTGACCAGGGCCAGGGGTTGAGCCTGCAATCCAGGTACGTTCCCTTGGCTGGAATCGAACCTGGGACCCTTCAGTCCCCAGGCCGATGATCTAACTGCTGGGCCAAACTGGCCAGGGCAGTTGTGAGTTTTTATAATTTAATTTTTAATTAAAGCTGTAACAACTGGAATGCACGATTCTGGAACATTCAGCAGTTGTCTCTCATGAGCCAGTGTGAGGCACCATACTGTCTTGGTGTTTTTCTCTAATGGTGAGGAAGGCATGTTTATAATATTATTTTTAACTTTATGTTATTTTTGAAAGGCAGGATTAGGAGTGTTTAAAAAATTCTATGTGTGTTTTTAAATAAGAATTTTATTTTATTATTATTTTATTGTGTTTGCCACCCAAAGTCAAGTCTTCTTCTGTCACCACTTATCCCCCTTTTACCCTGAAAAGATATAGACCCAGAGTTCTGGTCAACAATCTTGTAGGAGAGTGAAGCCAACATGGAGGAAAAAGAGCCAGATGATGGGAAGAGACAGGGTCCTTTGGACACTGAATGAATGCCTGCGTCAAGACACATCCAAAGCCTGACCTCTTAAGCCATTTTGGTTACTTAAGCCAATATACTTCCTCTTTTGCTGAAGTAATTTTAAGTCAGGTTCTCTAAAATAATTATTGAATAATTTGCCACAACAGGGCTATGCTAACCTGGTCTCCCTAAAGCTAAAGGCTGGCATTTCTCTGGCTCCAGCCCGTGTGCTATGAAGGAGCCCCCCCCCCCTTCTCCCCAGTGAGTTCTCAAGTCCCCAGGAGACTCCTCATGTGTGGTCAGCAAGCTCATGCTCTGCCATTTCCTTCTCTCTAAATAGGCTCTCTGGGGGTGAGGAGGGGCCCCCTTTTTCTGTAGAAGCAGAGAGTGGTAATCCTGTCTCAGCTACCCAGCAAAATAATTGGGAGATAGCCACTGTGGGCACCGTCAGGTCCTCACCCTCTGACGGCATTTAAGGTCTGGGTCCAGGGAGCTGAAGTCGCCGGTGCCCCATCCAAGGGCACAAGGGTGCTGCGCCCGCTCCTCTTTCTTCTTAGCGCCACTTAGGGGGCACTTGTCTGGTGTCAGGTACTATGCTGGGCATTTTACGCCCATCGTCGTATGTAATTCTTCTAGCACCCTGAGGAGAGGAGATAGTTACTACATCTCCATTGAACAGGTGAGAAAACAGAAGCTCAGAAAGTGCTATGACTGAGTCAGGGCGTCAGGTTATTAAGTGACAGAACAGGTTTCCAAGACGTGCCCCTGGAAATGCGGCCGCTAGGGATGGGCGCGTAGCCAGCGGGGAGCCTGAAGAGGGAAGGCGGCAAGGAAGGAATATTTGGGGCTGTAGGAAGTTGAAAAGGTCGCCTGGGAAGCTGCTTAGGCACCGGTGCGACTGGGCGCCGTCCCAGGGTCCTGCTGGAGGCGCAGCGTGCCCGCGGCGACCCTGGGCCCGCGGGGTTTTCCGAGGCAAACGGTCCCGCGCCAGGTGGGGGCGGCTGGCGGGGCGGGGCTTCTNGGCTGAGCTAGGGCCGAGAGGGCGCCCCGGGACTGGCCCCACCGAGCGCGCCTTTGGCGGGGGTGGAGGAGGAGGGGGCCGCGCCCTGCCCGGCCCAGGTGTCGTCCCCGGGGGCGGAGTTTGGGAACCCGGCCGCGGAGCTTCCCGGTGGGACCTGCGGGCGGACATCGAAGGACAAGCAGCGGAGCAAACTAGGCCGAGCGGGGTGGCGCGGGGAGCGCACAGGGCGGACAGACGCGCCAAGCCACCAACATGTTCTCTCGAAACCACCGGAGCCGGGTCACGGTGGCCAGGGGCTCCGCCTTGGAGATGGAGTTCAAACGCGGCCGCTTCCGACTCAGCCTCTTCAGCGACCCGCCGGAGGTGAGAGCCCCGCGTCCCTCCTTCCCTTGGCCCGCGGGGCTCCCGCAGCCCCGGCCGCG